TTTGCTCAGGCAATTTTCATCTATGTTCCAACAGTTTACTTGCATTCAAAGTCATAGTAAACTCAGTTGAAATGTGTAGGATACATTTCCTTGAAGAAATCCATTTGCATCTAGTGGGTGGCTATAAAGCTGTATTATGTATACCTGCTGCAACTGTTTTATATATATATAACTCCAGCAACATGCTAGAGAAATCCTGAAGACCAAATTCTGAAGGCCCAACACATAAGAAATTCGTACCAAGGGCTGATGTCCTGCAGAGTTTTAGAATGTGTCTCTGTCCCTCCCTGGGGTGGGGTTTCAGGAATTACTGGTGCTGAGCTGTGGTTAATTGACACAGACCATCCAGGGACCTATAAAGGTAACCAGGCATCACGGCTGTAGATCTTTAGCAGATAGACTAGTCACAGAAATCAAACTAGACCCTGCTCCTGTGTGAGAATACAGAAATAACCAGGGCTGGTTCATTCCAAAGACTGTTCCTAGAATAACAAAAGAGATGGGAGAGGATCTTAAGTCCTCTTCTCCCTCTCTCAGAAGATCCCATCACAAAACACTAACCCTCTGGTGTTTTACAGATTTTTGAAGAACAGTAAGAACAGCACTTAATGAGGTTAGGAGGACCGGCTGCTCTTCCAGAGGACCTGGGTTCAATTCCCAACACCCATATGGCAGGTTATAACAGTCTGTAACTTCAGTATCTGACACCCTCACACAGACATACATGTAGGCAAAACACCAAAGCACATCAATAAATAAGAGAAATTTAAATGCAGAAGGCCCTCTGCGGGTACTCCCTGAGGCTCCAGTGCAAGTGATTTAGACAGACATTTTTGTTTGTTTGCTTGCTTGCTTTTTTTGTTCTGTTTATTTTTATTTATTTATTTATTTATTTATTTATTTATTTATTCATTCATTCATTCATTTATTTATTTATTTATTTATTTATTTATTTATTTATTTATTTATTTATTTATTTGAGATAGGGTTTTTCTATGTAACTGCTCTGACTGTCCTGGAACTTGTTTTGTAGACCAGGATGGCCACAAACTCACAGAGACCCACCAGCCTCTGTCTCCCTAGTACTGGGATTAAAGACTTGTCCAACCACTGCCTGGCATTAGATGGGCATTTAAATCAAATTTGTAAAGTTCTAAAGCACTTGGGGTGGTGAGGCTAAAAAAGAAAGGCTGGATGTAGGGGTCTGCCTGGGTCATTCAAAGGCAAATGTGCCAAGATTGTGTCAAACAAGGGTTCTAAGGAAAGAACACTAACAGAAAATCAAACGCTTTGAATATGAGCCTTTGGGAGTCATTAAGGCTTGAGTGTGAGTTCACCAAATGAGTGAAAGAAGACATGAATTCCAGAGTGGTTCGGGTGAAAAAGATTAAACTGGGCATGAGAATAGGCGATTATCCCCCTAGAGTGTGCTATGGTGGGCATTTCTCCCTTGCAAAAACACCTACAGCAGTTGGTATCATTTGGGTAGCTTTGATCCTGTGCATTAGCTGTTTGTGGATGATGGAGAGGCAGTGGCCATGACAGCATCTCAGAACCTATCAGGTCCTAGGAGCTGGCTTGAGTAATGGATATGGCCGGTAAGAGCCCAGTCTTGTTTTCTATAGTCCTTGGCCAGGATGACCAGTAAGAGCTGGACCTGATACAGGAGACCACAGTATTACTAAAAAAAAAAAAAAAAAAAAAAAAAAAAAAAAAAAAAAACTTATGAAAGGAAGATATTATAGGGTATAAATATGGTGATATATTGTGTACCCCAATAAAGCTTGCCTGGGAATCAGAGGACAGAGCCAGCCACTAAATTAGACATAGAAGTCAGGCAGTGATGGCACACACCTTTAATCCTATCACTCGTGAGTCAGAGTTCTGTCTGGATCTCTGTGTTCAAGGCCACACCAGGTTACATGAGAGAAACAGCCAGGAAGTGGTAACATGGGCCTTTAATCCCAGGAAGTAAGATGGCAGGACACAGAAAGGTATATCAGGCATGAAGAAACAGGAACTCGTTCTCTTTAGGCTCAGGATTTCATAGAGGTAAGAACTTGTGGCTGGCTTGCTCTGCTTCTCTGATCTTTCAGCTTTCACCCCAATATCTAGCTCCGGGCTTTCTATTAATAAGACCACTTAGCAATTCGTGTTACACACAATGTAATTTTTATGTGGTGCACACATTTCTTTGCCCAATTCAGTCTCCCTCCTCAAAACTAAATTGGTAATAAATGATGCAGAAACATAAGTCATTAGCATTAAAAGAAACCAATTTTTTTTTTTTTTTTTTTTTTTTTGTTTTTCGAGACAGGGTTTCTCTGTGTAGCTTTGCGCCTTTCCTGGAGCTCACTTGGTAGCCCAGGCTGGCCTCGAACTCACAGAGATCCGCCTGGCTCTGCCTCCCGAGTGCTGGGATTAAAGGCGTGCGCCACCAACGCCCGGCAAAAGAAACCAATTTTGAAGACAAAGGCAAACTCAATCATTTTGCACAGAAATATTTATGGAGATATTGCATGAATACAGCATCACTATCAGAGTGCTTTGAAATGAAAGTTTCAATTGAATTCCCTCACCTGACTATGTGACAAGCCTTCAAACAGTGACCAGAATACAGGTCCCCCACCCACACAGGCTTCCAAAGAACCCAAAATACTGTATATCCCAACACCAGAATTTTTGTTTTTGAATATTATTGTCTGATGGAAGAAAGGAACCAGTCCAGTGAAGAAAATTTTACAAACCAGAAGCTAAAGTCTCCTAGCAGAGTCTTGGGACTACATCAATACACAGTGAGCTTGAAAAGCAGCCTTGGGTACACAACCTGTGAAATTTGGGCATTAATAAAATATTTACTTATTGTAATACACAATGGCTCATGAGATATAATAAAATGTGCCAGTCTGCCCTGGCATGGATAAACATTTCTGAAAGGTAATCTCTATTTTGGGGTGTGATGTTAATTAACAAATGTGGAACAAAGGAGTTTGGAGGATATGAACACCAATACGCAGGCAGAAGTTTGATGGACAGAGTGATTCTATACCTTTAAAGAATCTAGCCACCAATGACCTCTAAAGGGAAATTGTCCTTCTACATTGGAGAATCTTGGTTGACTACCAATTTAAAAAAAAAAAAAAAAAAAAAAAAAAGATATCGTGTGCTTTCTTAAGTCACATGCTAAGTCAGTAGTTCCATAAAAAGGTAAAATCAGATGTATCAAATGCTTAGAAAATAAAGCAAAATATCTAATTGAACCTGTTTTTGAAGCTTTGCTGCCCACTGTATGAGCTCAGTTATATTGGACATGGCCATCTGAAGGATAAATGCATCTCCACCTGGTTGATGTTGACCTCCCACAGATAATCTGGGCTGCTGCCATAAGATCCTGAACATAAGAAGAGGTTGTAGGTGCTGACACTGGATTCCTTGAGTCATAATGGAGGCTGAGGGGACTTCAGCAGAGATAATTTTCAAAGAAGAACTTCAATTATAAGCATGGAATTTAGTATCGAAGCCAGCACTGCTTCCTACAATGGCCGTGATAACACAGACGTGTCCTGCTTTGTGCTGGCACAGATTTACTTGTCACCAAAGCCTATTATCTGGTTTTGTATGCAGTCAAAGGACTGATGTCTCCCCATATGTTGGTTAATGAGGAAAACCACAGAGCCTCGCTTACTGGTTTCTTGCTAATTTTTAGCTGTAAAATAATTGGGGCCAGCCTTCCAATCTAATAAAAGTGGCAACACACTTCGATAGAGGTTTAAGTCTTCTTCTGTGTTCTAGTAGGAACTTAACACACCTTGATAGTTGAAACCCAGCTGCTACCAAAGAGATTACTGTCTACATACTCCATGTAACTTCACATGCTCCATAATAAATTCCATTACACAATGTGCTTTACCCTAAAATAGAAACCTATTTGCTTTGTCAGTGTTAGCGTCCTGGAGAAGTCCCACAAATGACCATCCACATATCCAATCAGCAAGAGAGTAAATGTTATCTAGAGAGTAAAAATGGCAGTATGCTGGGGCTGCACATCCCACACAAGGGCAAAATGGCCTTAAAAAAGCTTACAGGTTTGTGTGTGTGTGTGTGTGTGTGTGTGTGTGTGTGTGTGTGTGTGTGTGTGTGTGTGTGTACACATATAAAGGAATTCTAAAGACAGCAAGATCATTCTATCTAGGTTTGGCTTACACAAGTGACAATCATATTAGTATGTTTCTAATCGGTTAGGATAGGCAGGGTTGGGCTAAGGCTATAACTTTCCATCCTTGGGCAAGTATGGACAGGTCCCAGGCTTTGTCCTTATTTGCTTATTGCCTTTAGATACCTGGGTAGGGGAGGGGAATTGGCCCAGGCCTAATATATGCAATTCTCCTGTCCTCACCGTCAGGGGTGTTGGTGATTGGTTGCCCTTTGTTTATTCCTTGGAAACTGTCTGTCCAGTTTCGAGAGGCAGGAACTGAGTCCTAGTTCTTCACTGAGTCATTAGGAGCCTGTCATGATATTTGCCTGGCCCTCTCATTCATGCTCAGTGCATCAGACCAATTCCTGGAGATAGTTCTTCCGGGTTTACAGGTTTCTATTGTTGCTTTAAAACCATCAGGGGTCTGTGGAGATCCATTCCTTAATACATTTGATTAAGGCATTAATGATACAAGGTCTACAGGTTAAGGTCAAAAGAAGAAGAATTGGAGGTCCAGCTAGGGATGATTAAGAGGGTGGTTAACCAGGGTGACCAGTTAAATAAAGATTCATATCTGCTGTGGGATGTCTTTTTGTATGCTGTGAATATGTGTTGCTATGATTGGTTAATAAAGAAGCTGCTCTGGCCTATGGCAAGTCATGTTATAGCCAGAAAGGAAATCCAAGAGAGAGACAGAAAGAAGAAAGCAGAGGCAGGGGAGACACCAGCCTGCCACCCAAGAAACAATATGTCATCAGACAGGTAAAGCCATGGAACACATGACAAAACATAGATTAATAGAAATAGGTTAATTTAAGACATAATAGCTACGGGACTGACCTGAAATGGAGAAATTACTCTTGCTGATCACTTACTTGGAAAAAAAAAAGAAAAAAAAAAAGACATAATAGCTAGCTAGCAAAAAGCTTGAGCCACAGGCCATCCAGGTCATAATTGATATAAGCCTCTGTGTGTTTACTTGGGTCTGAGCGGCTGAGCCTTTTCCTAAGCAGGGCCATCGAGTCCCTGAAAACTCCAGAATGGTTGCATAGAAGCATCATTGTTACCCTAAGGCCATACATAATCTCTCCTGTTGCAGAAATAACAAATCAAGTCCTCTTCTGTTTTGGAGGACTAACTCAGTAAGGGAATAGAGACTTCTCTAGGTGGGACTTTTCTAGGGTAGCTACATCCACATCTATTGTCAATCTCAAAGTCCTGTAAATCTGATCTTGTAGTATCAAAGCTGAAGTTCCAGTGCCTATGGCTCCAGCAACACTGACACTTAGTGTTAATATTCTGGCCCACCCCTTGGCACCACCTTGTATCCTAACATAGAAGCCTCTTCTTAAGGAAAAACTCCACCCCCTTCTCCCTCTCTCCCTCCACTCCCAAGAGGTGTGCACTCCTAGACCCCCCTCTCTTTTCCTCTCTCTCTCTCTCTCTCTCTCTCTCTCTCTCTCTCTCTCTCTCTCTCTTTCTCTTCTCTCCCTCTTTCCTATCTTCTCTTCACCTCTCTATTATAATTAACCATTTCTGTACAGGTATAGCATCTGGATTGTGAATGCCTACCTGTCACCCTGCCACCATGCCTGCACGGAGTGGGTTGTCTGCCAGTCTGCTGCTACATCTGCCCTGCATGCCAGCATGTTTCCCTGCACGTGTGGGATACCCTTGAAGTCCCAACATAATATATCATAACATTGGCACCCAGCACTGCCAAGCAATCCCACTGCTTTCTCCCGCCTACCGGCAGTGTAAGGAGCTTTTGGGACCCTGTACTACCCACCATCTTTCCAGCTGGAGGACTGTGGGAAACTCTTCATCCTATTGGATGGATAAGATTCTTCCCTTCTAGTCTGGCCATTTTCCCACAACTGAGGATTTGCCTCATTTCATCTACCAGTACCACATGTATCTCGAGCTCATAGCCCTTCAGCTCCCACCCCTATGTGGCGGCTTCTGGATACAGCTTGTGCCCCATCCTCGCTTACTCTCTGGGATGCTGGAAGTCAGTCTCATTTTGCTTCCTGGTATCACTTTTCTCTTGGGCTCATAGCCCTTCAGCCCCGACCCATATATGATGGCATATGGAGGCAGCTTGTACCCTCTGAGTTCTATGGACCATAGCCTCTGTGATGACAATCCATTGGCTATCTTGTGCCATTATCCCTCATTGTGGAAAAATGCTCCTACCCCTCCCAACTCCCTTTCTGTCACCCACCCCCCATGCTCCTCTAGCCTCCACTAAGCAATTACATCATCACCTGTAATGAGGTTCCTTTCCATGACATGCAAAATTGCCCGCCAGGCAAAGCTCACTCTCTTTGCCTGGCCCTTGCTTCTAATTCCTATCCTTGTCTGTATCTTTTAAGTCTCTTCTCTCTAATGCTTGACTCTGTCACCAGGACCTCCTGTTCCAACTGAGGGACTTTGGTGCAGGGCCCTTCTTCTGCTCCACCACTGCTGGGAACCCCACCCCTCCCACCTCTGTCAGCCTGCCTTTCTGCTGCTGCTGCTGCTGCTGCTGATGATGATGATGATGTTACCAGGGCTTGGGAAATGGACACATTAACTTGTTTCTGACTAACTTTTTTTTTTTTTTTAAGATTTATTTTATTTATTATGCATTCAGAGGAGGGCACCAGATCTCATTACAGATGGTTGTAAGCCACCATGTGGTTGCTGGGAATTGAACTCAGGACCTCTGGAAGAGCAGTTGGTGCTCTTAACCACTGAGCCATCTCTCCAGCCCCCGTTTCTGACTAACTTTTAAATGCTTCACTTTACCTGTTCCTTATCTGTTCAGTTTGTCTAAAAAAAAAAAAAAAAAAAAAAAAAAAAAAAAACCACCAATGTGGTCAGCTGCCATATTTGATAAGGGCAGCTATGTGGTCATTCACCATCTTAAATAAGGGCAGTCACATGGTCAGGCACCATCTTGACTACAGTCAAAATGCACAGGTCATATGACCTCACTGCCATCTTTATTAAGGGCAGCAAAAAGCCACTTCCTGGGGCACCTGGCACTCAAGCTGTCTGAGCAAGGTGGAGGGAGGTCCAGTTGCAGTCTGCCATTTGTTCCTCTGTGGCCACTCATCTTGGCAAGGCCCGAAGATGTGTATGTTCCTCTCTAAGGCATCAGCAGAACCACATGCACGGTGATATAGCCAACTTGCCAGCTCACTGGCCTCGCATTTCTTAGCTGCCACTGTCAGGCTCAAGCAAGTGGGGCAGAAGTTCAGTCACAGCCTGGCATTCATTCCCCTACAGCTGCTCATGTGGGTGGGGACAGCACACTCCTATGCCAGAGCAGGGTAGCAGCACTAATACTTAAGATTTTAAATTCCAGATTTTAACATTAATACACTCTGATACTATTTGGGTCACAAACTCAGGATTTTAAACCTATAGGTATGAGTCTACTGCTGCCTTTCAGATGTCCCATGCCTGTTCCAGTTCAGGAGTCTTTCTCACACATCTATTCCTGAGGATGGCATTTTTCTCTCCTGGTCTCCAATTATCAAAACTACAGGCCTGAAGTCTCCAAATAAATTCATAAATTTTAACTCCTGTCTCTATTCTATCTTCCAGCAGGCTAGCAGAAACATCAAAGCAGCAGTTGTGGACCACAGCCAAATGTAATTATTCCCTGCCTCTACAGCCAGGTCAGAAAACCACATGCTTCTGACAAATGTCCCATTGCCCAGCCTTTGACTACACCTTTCAGCCTTTTGGGGGGCCCTGACAACAATTTCCCAATGCCAGCTTGAAGCAGTTCCAGAAGAGAATACATCGTCCCATGTTCCCTATCTAGAATAGACTGAAATGCTGGGTCAAAATGAAACCCCCTGGCATAAAGGATTGATCAGCTTTCTAATGGCCATCAATATTTATCAATTAAAATGGTTTTACAATAAGATGCTTGACCTTCTGTGGGAGCCCGTTTTCAGGTTCCTCATGGCTTTACCCAGCAGGTCCACATAGAGAGGATGATTAGAACCATGGGCCTGAGTGCAGGTGTCTGAGATGGTCTGCACTTGGCTGTGCTGGGGGGGGGAGGTCTTTTGCTCTACCCCTTGGCATCTCTATAAATATCCTGGGGCAGAGACAGTCAGGGCCCATTGGAATAGGTTCCAGGCCCTCTCGAGGCTATCCTTTATTTTCTATCTGTTTATCTCCACAATCTAAATCCTTCTATCTAATATTTCCCGCTGCTCACACTCAAGAAAACTCTGGGGAACTGTGGGGTTGGTGGGTAAATGCTCCACAGAATGGCGCCATGAACAGGGACTAAAGAAAAAAGGGGAGAACTAAAGACAAATGAACAGGGACTAAATACAAAGTAAGAGGGACTAAAGAAAAAGGGAAATAATAGTTTTATTACAGAGTTTTTGGTGAAAGTGTGAGTCAGCCCTGCCAGTGAAAAGTGGCATGCCAGTGTTATGGAATATATATATATATATATATATATATATATATATATATATATATATAAATTGAGGGGCAGGGGTTTTATCCTCAAGAGAAAAGAAAAGGAAAAACAGAATGGAAGGATGTCTGATGCTGCAGTGCAAAATACTTTTCTGTCAAAATTTTCTGTCTTCTATCCCTTTCTCAATTTCTATCTGTGAAAAATAAGTATAAGGCATAGTGTAGTAATATAGTGTAGGAAAAACTTAGAAATGTAAGATTGTGTAGAAAAAATTTAAGATAACTAACAACAACTAGAAAGAAAAGCTCTTCAATTTTTCTAACTTGGGGACTATGAACACAAACTGGGAAGAAAATCTTTCTTTGAGCTTTACGGGTAGTAAAAAAGCTCTTCTTTGAGCTTATGGGGAAGAAAAAGTTTCCTATGGAAGCGTTTAACCTGGGGACAGTTGAAATGCTAAGTCTAAGTGGCAGGAGAAAGTTTTCTCCCTGAGGCAAAAATTTGGGTGTAAAAAGTCAAAAAGTTTAAAGTTCAAAAATTTTGGGGAAAGTTGGTCCTTTCTCTCTTGGGGAAAACAAAACAAACAAAAATAAATAAATAAAAACTTCCACTTAAACTAAAAGCTTTCCTTGGAAATTTTTGGGGAAAAAAAATCTCTCTCAAAAGCCTTAATCTTTCTCAAAAGTTCTCTTTAAAAACTTAAAAACTAAATCCTTTAACTTTCCCTCTCAGAAGGAAAAAGTAAAGCCTTTAACTTTCTCAAAAGGACAAAAATTAGAATCACCTGAAGATATTGGTATGGGGACCACCTGTGATTAGTTCTAAGGGAAAACAACAAAGCTCTGAAGACAGCAAAACCTCTTAAGTTCTCTTTAAAGCTTTAAAAAAAATCCTCCCTGCAATGCAGGAGGCAGGAACGGAGTTCCTAAAAACCTCTCTTCCAAGCTCTGTCTCTTCAAGCTAGTAAAAAACAATGGGTCAAAGTTCCCTGAGGGAAACGCTTGGGATTGTGCAGGTAAAGAGCTACAGAGAGCCCAAAAGGGCAGAAAACCTTACCTGAGAAAAGCAAAAAAGCCAAGCTTTTCAGTTACAGCCCAGCGGAGGCATCAAGGGTTTTGTTTCTGAGTGAGCATTTCAGAATGAAAAGGTGCTCCTAATTGTCCTAATGCAAAGATCCCCTGAAGCAATGCAAACTGTTAGCATCGTATCCTCGCTTCTGACCAAAAACCCAGAGGCAACTGGCCAGCATTGCAGTTGGAATGCATATCAGGAATACTAGGATTCCTGCAGTTGTAAACTTCCTGGAGCATATAGCTGAGGCAGGAAGGTGCAGGACCCAGGGGAAGATTGCTAATGAACAAACAAAACTAAAGCCAGTGGAAAGGGCACAGTTGCCCACTTTCCTACAAGTCCCAGGTTGATAGGTCCACAGCTGCAA